ATTGCTAATATAGGTATTATTTTACATATTTATATGATTTTTATTATTGAATGATTTGACATCTTATTAAATTTTATACCAGTTCGATTGAAATCTATAATATCTTAAACCATATTTATAAAATGTAATGTCAATAAAGAATCATTTAGGAAAACATAATTTTTAACAGGTTGATGAGAAAGGAAAATTTGTTAATTTATGTGCTTATTATAATATAATTATTAGAGGAGAAGAAATTAACATGTTTAAACGTCACTTGACTGCAATAAAAGGTGAAGTATGTGCATGTAGATGTCCAACATCACATGAAACAAAAAGAAAGATGATTGGGCATTGGTAATTATTTTAGACTTAAGAGAGCTCTTAGTTCAACTTACCTTAAAAAATGTGTTACAGTAATGAAAATCAACTATTTTAGACCTAAAACAACTTTTAGTTCAACCTACCTTAAAAAATGTGTTTGGAGTAATGAAAATTAACTATTTTAGATCTAAAATAACTCTTAGTTCAATTCAATGTACCTTAAAAATGTGTTATAAAGTAATGAAGTATTCGTCTCATTAAGTCAACTCAATTAATAGTTATGTAAAGACAACATATGCAAACATACGGGTTCAAATTCGTGCAATTCCACTTGTTCACTTTTAAAGAGGGAATTTTAGTTACTAGACTACTTAACTGGATTACTTAACAAAAAATAAATAATAAAGTGCTTGAAAAGTATGACATTGCTATAGCAAGATGGTTCACATGTTCTTCTGTTGAGAATTTCTTAAGGCACCTTATGTATTTCTTAGACACCATGTAAATTTTCAATAATGCTCCTAATTTTCGGAGATATATCTTCATATGCACTCTTTTAAAACTCAAGGAAGGTCATTCTGGATGGCGTTCCATACAATTGCTAAAGATTTATTCCGAAGATATTTCTCCGGAACCATTTAGAGGAAATATGAATATTAATCAGTTCCGTGAAAGTTCCAAAGATATATTTCTAGAAGATATGAACGAAAATTTGAATTTACCTGTCACCTTTACATGTCAGATTGTTCTGGAGATATATCTCCGGAAGTATCTGATATATTTTTCAGCTGCATGATCAGTCTCCATTGTTGTCATACTTCTATTTCAACTTAAACCCTCACCCCTAAGAACACTACATTCTCAATCCCATTTTTCACTCCAAATCTCCATCGTTTTGGTTCAACATATCACAGAGAGTAAAAGAAGATCGAATTTCAACTAAAGATTGTTCATTTCCAGCTACATTACTTGATTAATCATGAAACTTTGCTGAAAAAAACTTACGCAGTGTCCGAAAATATATCTCTAGAACGTGCTGAACATGAACTTTTTCGAAGATATATTTCTGGAATGTTTCTGTTTTCATTTTTCATCCTTTTCTACAGCACTAGATTAATTATTTTTACTGTTTTTATTGTTTCCAATAGATAAGATGCACCCTGATAATATCTCAAAACAAGTATTTTCTTCGAACGAAGTTTCTCCGAATGTTCAAGGGGTTGTTGTTAAGGCGGTATATGTTCGCAATAAATTTAATAATAAGTAAGAGTTTGAAAATCGTGATAACAAGCTCGAATGGATTCGTATGGTGACATCTAGACTTGAATTTGGTGTGGTTATCAGAAGGTCGGATAATGGCTTGGATAGAAGAAGCGCCTTTGTGACTATGTTGTGCGAAAGAAACGGGAAATATTGAACTCCTCTTCGGAATTTTAAGAGAGAAGACATGGGTAATAGAAAATGTGAGTGTCCGTTTAACCTTCGTGGTTACATGTTGGCTAGCAAAAAATGGAGATTTAATGTCATTTGTGGTGTACATAACCATGAATTATGCTTAAAATTAGTCGGACATCCTAGTGTATGTCGACTCAACCCCGGAGAGAAGGTATGTATTAATGACATGACCTTGAATCTTGTCCAATCGAAAAAATATACTTGCAACATTGAAACAGAAGCATATCGACAATATATCAAACATCAAGCAAGTGTATAACATTCGGTACCTCACTAACAAGACGATTAGAGGAGATAGAACTGAGATGCAACAATTGTTGAAACTGTTGGACGATAACAATTACGTGTCCCGGTACCGAACTTGCGATGATGGAGTTATGGTTAGAGATATTTTTTGGACTCATCCGAATTTGATAAAGTTGTTCAACACGTTTCCGACAGTGCTCATACTTGATTCTACCTACAAGACCAACAAGTATAGACTTTCATTATTTGAGATGGTTGGTGTTACCTCAACTAATAAGACATACTTCGTTTGTTTTTCATTTTTAGAGTGTGAAAAAGAGGACAATTTTACTTGGGCATTAGAGGTGTGTCAGTCATTTTTGAAGGATTAAAGTGAGATGTCTAAAGCTATTGTTACGAACCGCAATACCGCATTCATGAATGCGGTTGTAAAGGTGTTTCCTTCTTCTTATGCATTACTTTGTAAGTATCACATAACAAAAAATGTGAGAAGTCGGGTTAAATTCGTGGTAGGGACGAAACAAGTAGAGTCTAAAGGTGGAAAATTGGTGAAGTCGGGTGTGATTGTGGAGAAAATAATGGATGCACAAAATCGCATAATAAATTCTTCCACAAAAGAATTATATGCCGATTCCGTCATTTATTTTTGAAAAGTGTGTGAAAAGTATCATTCTTGATAAGGTGAAGGAGAATATAGTTTGCGCGTGGACTGATAATGTCTAAAACCATGGAAATACAACCACCAACAGAGTTAAGTCGGCTCATGCTACTTTGAAAAATTGGTTGGGAAATAGCAAAGGAGATTTGTGTCGAGATTGGGATTTGGTGAACCACATGATTCAAAACCAACATAATGAGATACAAACAACATTTAGTCGGAGCATCACAATAACACTGATTCAAAGGCAACATTCTTTATTCTCATTTGGTCGAAAATATTTCTTGGACGAGGTTGAACTATATTTTTCACGGGGTCAAACGAGCTAATAATGTTGGCTCCGATAGTGCAAAGTGTGGTTGCACTATTGTGAAAACATATGGTCTTCCATTTGCTTGTGTTATTGCTAAAAAAAAGTGAAACTTGGTGAAACAATAAGAATAGACGAGGTTTGCTCTCATTGGAAGAGACTTAGTTTTGATGATGATGAATGCATGAATAAAGGTAAATTGAATATCTCTATTTTGACCGAATGAAAAGTGATGCAAAAGAATTTTTCGAAGGTTGATGACAACATGAAACTCCACATCAAAGAACAATTGAGAAAATATTCCTATCCTAAAACCACAGACATGAAGTCGCCTTCTCAACCGGTAAAAACGAAAGGTGCTCAGAATAAAATAAAGCCTACATCAAATGACAACTTGACTACACGGTCTCCTTCATACTTTGAACACGTTAACAAAGTATTTTCGACTCACTGACTCCAAAATCTCAAAAAAATGTTGTTAAAGGAGCTCGAATTAGAAAACCACGTCCGACGCCGCTTCCACCGAAGATTCAATTCATTGACGAGATGTCGGGTTTTATGCACAAATATATCGGTCGTATCGCCAATGTTGTGAGAGACGGTAATTGTGGTTATCAAGCTGTTTCGACTTTACTTGATAAGGGAGAAGATAGTCATGCGCTAGTCTGTCATCAACTTATCCAAGAGTTGAAGACGCATAAGGAATCATACACACAATTGTACGGAAAAAAGAAAAATTCGACGCGGTTTATGAGTCACTTGTTCCTTCCTTGAGCGGTCAGACACCAAAGTCAAAATGAATGAGCTTCTCAAATATTTGTCACCTAATTGCATTTGCATATGATAGGGTGTGCATTGACCTGACATGCTACAGATTTTCAAAAACCTTTTTTGCAGTGCGCACCACACCACCCCAAAATCCAAATGATCGCATCATGTGTATTGGATGGCTTTCAAAATCAAGTCATTTTGTTCAAGTTTACTTCAAACCGGGATGCCCCATACCACCTACATCACTGGAATTGACGACTCATTCAATCACAAATGTTAGGCGTGGCCGAATCATTTTATAAAAAAGATGCAAGAATTCAATAGATTGAACAACATTGAAAAGGAATCAAATACCACCTATAGATTTAGCCAACAACACATATTCTGATTCGTTTTGATTTCTTGTGTAATCAGACAAATAATTGTATATAATTGTGTCTCAATATAAATAAAGTATTACATATTCACTTATTATTCATATTTAGTCTTTATGCATATTTGATCTTTCTCAACTCTCGTTCATATAATTCTATTTTGAAAATGTATTAGGAAAAATTTCGAAAATACATTTCCGAAAAGTTCTTTTATTTACTTTATTTTTGAATATTTCAAAAAAAACTCAGAAGATGCATCGCCAAAACAAAATAATGGGATACCGTTCTAGAAATATATATCTAGACTATGAATTACACTCTGCAATTTGCACCATGAGCCCAGTATAAAGTTCCAATGCAACTAATTCAACAAATTTTTAATCTAGGACTAATGCACTTTGCACCATGAGCCCAGTATAAAGTTCCAACTATGAATAATGGATTGATATATTGAAAAAGACAAACTCTTATAAATTTTTTTATTTATTATGCTAAAGATACTGTTTTTTCTAAAATCTATTGGTTAAATTCAACTTGTTAATATAATGATGTTGCTAAATTTCCAAACATATGTCCCCAACAACATGGCTTTTAAATGCCATTGAAAAGTATGCACATGGAAATTCCGAAATTAATTAATGAGATGAGAATATTCAAAAACTGTGACTTGAAATATAGAAGGAAGGCATCTAAAACTAGGCCGGGGAATGGTTTTATCATAACATATGTTAAAAGATGTTATGGAGAATTGTTCCTATGTTTCTGTTTCTCCATTACTAACTGAAACCTTCCGCACAAAAAACTACTTGTATATATGAATATTTACAAACCTTATGTAATAGATGATGACATATGAAACACTACTATACAAATCTGAGTGACATTATTCTCGTTTATCCTCCTCAATATCTTCTGCAATTGCAAGATTTGTGGCACTAGAACCTTTTCTTTCTTTCCGCTCAAGATTGGCCGTCACATCCCCACTCATCTTTGCAATGCTGCTTGTCAGAGAGATACCTTCCTCGTCAATGTCATCTGTTCCCTCTAAGTATGCATACCTAGAAACAAAATATGTAAATGCAATCAGTCTTTAAAGGTACACACCAGCAAAACAAATACTGGGATATAATATTCAATTCCAGTGCATCAGGAACATTAGAAAGAAAGTGACATGAATGAAATGATGGAGGTAAAAACAGATTAATCCAAAGGTATTACTAAATACAATGCAACTTCTCCACAATCTAGAGTTTTTTCAAGCCACTTTTGGGTTCAATTGACAACCAACACAATATGTATTTTAAAACTTCTCAAGTTTCACCGTAGTGCTAGAAACTAGAGTAACAACAATCAAAGCATCTTTCACCACTTTCATGAATCAAAGCATCTTTCATCACTTTCATGGATCAAATGACAGCCTAAAGTCCTGTCATAAATAAGTATAGGCAGAGAGGTTTTGTAAAAGGTATTTGTTGACAATTGGACTCAAGTGACATGATAGGTTTCGGCTAACTAGAAATAAGGCATTTGGTCAAAAGCAAGTCTTTCCTACTCTCAGCTTTTCTAGTAATGAACCTATTGACCGCTCAATACAATAGAAACTCATCAAAGCATGCTGTAGCAGTGTACAAGAAGTAGCAATTATTGTATTGGAAAGAAAGATATAAAGATATCAAATGGAAACTAGGATATTCTATCGACAACTTAAACGAAACCTGTACTGATACATCTAAATGAAAAGTTTACAAAACACGCAAGATAATGTAAACACCAAAGTGTGCTGTATAAATTGCAAGTTTGCAATGAAATGAAGAAAAAAATACATTAGCAAAAGGTAGATCCAAAACAAATTTTGCTTTTACATGTTACAAAAAACTAATATAACTAGCCGTGGATTGACATTCGAACCAAAGTTTTATATAATATTAGCATAAAACAACAATGTAACTCTCCTAATAACACCATTCATGAAAGGACGTACCTAGTAGGGTTTCGAGAAGGAGCCCAGAGTACACATATCACCAGCAAGAGAGTATATGAAAGCAGGGACCAGAAAGCAGGAATAATCCAAGCAATTTGCCACAGCTCGCTTAGAGGATCAGTTGCATTGAAGTACAGCTGGTTAACCATAGTAACAAATGATCATTAGCAATATTATCTCTAATTTATTTTATTTAAAAAATGCTTAAATGGAAATCAGTTGCATCTCTAAAATTGCTTATTTTAATGCATCAAATATCTTTTACAAAAATTACCTCAAAGCCAATCCATGCAATGGACAGTAGCACAGACACGGCAAGGGTATTTGTAAATTTTCGATAGATCTCCAGCTTAGCTAAGTTTCTCCGCGTCTACATCCAAAAATAAATAGAAAATGAGAATAAGTAGAAATAGTATGCCTAACTCACATATTTTTAACAGGGTCATAAAATGCCCATATTCCACATTATGTAAACAACTCTTTCTTCCCCCCAAAAGAGAAACACAACCCAACAGAGAAATTAGAGGCAGTGGTTACTTGGCTATTATTACAATCATAAAAACAGCACTGAAGAATACGGAAAGGAAGTATAATTGGTAATTGCCTGCAGTTTCTCCAAGGTTTTAGACAAGGAAGAAAAGATCCAGAGGATGAAGCAGGAATCAAGGCAAACAACAGGGAGTACCAACAGCAACTTAGATTTCCCAGAGAAGTCATTGATGTTCCCCAAATGCTCAACAAGCTCAAACGCTTCACATGCAACAAAGTACATGACCCCAAGAAGCACAACTCTATATGTAACCCCCTGTGCACCAAGCGTAGGACGGACAACACCATATCCCATAGATACAACAAGCAGAAGCAACCTCGAAAGCGTCTTCTTAACAGATGTGAAAGTAACAGCCCATATGGTAATTCCCATAGGCCTGGTGCCAGTAACATTGAAATTGGCATACTCAAAATACCATAAAGCCATCTCACACATCCCAAGAGCAATAACAGCGGTGATATGGTAGTGAAGGTGGACATGAACAATATCCTTCTCTTTCCAAAACTGAAGAAACCTCAAAAACCATAGAAGACCTAGTAACAGATAAGCCAAAGACATGAAACCGTAAAGGGTCATAAGAGGTGCCATTTTACCAGGAAGATAACCATTAGGATTTCTCCACACAGTTTTTCCTGTAACAGTAGTCCCTTTGAGGTTAGGATCACAAAACATGAAGTAAAGATAATACATCCCAGTAGCATTGATTTCAACAGTTTGAGGATCCATGCGAGCAACTTCATCGATTCCTCGGAAAAAGGTTTTGATCCGTTTGGGAAAGTCAGGCTTATCAGGATTATTATGAATGATAACTTCGCCCAGATTACAGTTATACTGTTTAGCAAGATCAGGGGTACAACAAATGAAATCAGATTTGGGATTAAAATAGAATCCACCAATTCTGTTTCTGTCCTTAACTTCAAGAATAATAGCTTCAACAAGACCAGTGTGGGTTTGCATTTGGCCATGGGTGAGAGCAGATTCTCTGGGTCTGGTGAAGGACACCGTTTCAAACCTGAATTGAATTGAATTGAAATGAATGAAAGCCCAACCCTAATAGTGAGTGAGAAGAAAGAGAGTGAAAGTTGAATACCTGATGAAAGAGGAAGAGGAGGAGAAGATAGCTTCGGTGCCGGCGTGGAAGAAGAAAGCGTTGGAACGGTGAGTGAAGGGTTGGTTGGTGTAGTGATGAATTGAAGCGTTGGCGTTTACGAGAATGGTAAGAAAGAGTGCATAGATGAAGTAGACACGGTTGAACCCCATCATCAAAAGTGTACTAGTATGAATGAAGAAAGAGAAAAATGAGAGAGCATCGATAGTAGTAAGAAGCAAGTTAGGTTGACTGTAAAACTATTCATCTCAGTCTCACTCACGTCACGTGCTCTCTAACTTTTCATTTTTTTTTCAACCATGCCCACTCTTTCTCTAACAAATATAACCTGCCATTATCGTAAAACTAAATTTACCGTCTTTGCTACGTCTAATATAACACATCTTTTGTGAGAATTTATTTTCAATCAATTTTTTAAACATTTAACATGTTTTTAAAAATGTATTTTCAGACGCACTTTAATATATATATATATATATATATATATATATATATATATATATATATATATATATATATATATATATATATATATATATATATATATATATATATATATATATATATATATATATATATTTTGATTAAATAATTAATTTTTTTTTTTAATTTATTCGGAGATACATTTGTGAAATTTTTTAAAGTATTTTCAGAGATACATGAATTTTGTTTACTTTATATTTTTCATTGAACTTATTTATTTAATCATCTAGTGACATTTTCGAGAATGCATCTCTGAAAATATCAAGAGGCAAATTGAATATATCACCATTTTACATGATCATCTCTCGCACATTCCATATCACTTCCATAACCTAAAACCTTTAAAATAATTCATTCTCATTCAATTTTTCGACTCCAAATCATCATTCTTTCGTTTTACCACATCAAAAGAAGCAAAAGAAGTTGCAATTTAAGGTAAAGTTCACTCATTTCATCCCCCATTGCTTGCATTAATCTTCTTTTTGAGTTGAAAAATGAACATTGAGTACAAATGTGCATACCCGAATTTACCTGGTCATGTTTTGGATGTGCATATCTGAATTTTCATGCTACTGTGAGCTTTTTAAATTGCTTTTCTGTTTTGATTCGTATTCGATATGGTGCACCCGTATATGTTTATCAAAACTGTTGTAATTAATGATGTAAAACCATATGTAGTGAAGGATGATGTTAAACCGAATGAAGTGATGAATGATGTTAAACTGGTTGCTGTCGAGATAGATGTTGCTCAACATTTTAGAATTGAACAACTGTTTACTGATTGTGAACATATGCTTGAATGAGTATGTAAGAAAGCTAGGATATTGGGATTTGACATTGTAATCGGAAGGTTTGACAATGGTCCAAATAGAAGGTAAGTATTTACAACCATGAGTTACGAGAGAAGTGACGTGTATGTTTCACCGATTCGGAAGTTGAAACGTGATGACACCAGATCGAGAAAATGTGAGCGTCAATTTAAATTGCGTGGATACTGTGAGGTGAATGATACATGAAAATTTATATGTTTTTGTTCACACAGTTATGCATATCTGAATAAATTGCACACACAAAAAAAACACAATGAGACAGTTTACAGGTGTGAATATCCGTAAACACCCATTTTTTGCAAAAAAAAAAAAATCAAGGTTTATCTGGAGATGCATTTCTGAAAAGTTTCCTGATGACAAAATAAGTTTTCTAAGGTCCAAAGATTGCATTTGTGTATTTCAATAGCGCAAAACCCCCACTTCAATTTAGAATTTGCGAGGACATACTTCTCGTCGATCTAAAAACTAAACTAAATACTCTACTGCCATATCCAAAAATCGGAGAGTTATCCAACTCGAGTATTATTCACTCTCATTTGACGGTAAAGGGAAGATACAATTCACCAACTTTGAACTGAAAATAGATGAAGATTTAAAGGTCACATGGAGTATATTTTACCGTTACCAATTAAAGGATCTGATTGAAATGAATGCGAAGATTGCAAGATCCGCCAATGATATTATCAATATGTTGCAAAGTTTTGAACTACCTGTTTATACCGATATGTAATGTTAAATTTATGTTAATAACTATCTATGTAATATTGAGTGTTTTAATTTAATGTAAAGTTGTTTTTGTTTCTAGATCTTGTTCTTACTGTCTCTGTTTTTGGTTTGAAGTATCAGGACCATTTTTCAGATATGCATCTCCGAATTATACCAAATACACTTTCGGAGATGCAACTCCGAAGTAAAATTAAGTATAACAGGGGTGCCTCACTCGTTTGCGTTCAATTTTATGAAAAATAGGTGCATTCGAAGATGAATCTCCAAAATTTAGGGACATTTTTGGATTTTCACAAAGGGTTTGTGAGAAGGTATAAGGGTGGGGAAAAGAATTTGCCAAGAAAATATCCTAAGAATCAGCTCATTTGTTATGGAAGAAATTTATTTCATAAAATATATATGTAGGGGTGGTAAACGAGCATCCTCGTCCCATTTAGACAGGTTATGTAAAAATTATATATAAAAAAAGAAAGGCTAGAAGAAGCATAAATGAGGATGTGTGTCTAAAACCTTTATTTGTCCCGTAAAAAGTGAGGGTGGGGCGGGGCGGGCCCGCAAGCACTATAATACCCGAGGCTGAAGATGTCGGGAAATGGTCGCTCGAATTCACATTAGAACGAGAGGATCCTAAGATTGTCCAGGTATGAAACTGCATGCTTGAAGGGAGACTTATAAGGATTGATTGTTACTATCTATACCAACAAGAGACATCTTATTTTCGGTAGCCTAACAAATAATAACCCCATAGTTAAACGTGCTTAACTTGGAGTAGTATTTGGATGAGTGGCCTTTTGAGAATTTTCCCGAAAAGTGTGTGAGTGAGGATAAAACATGCTGAAAAGACTCGTGTTGGTGTGTGTCGGTAATCCTGAAAGCAATATGAGGTGTTATAAATGGTATCAAAATAGACATTTCATAGTATGATATGGTTTAGGAACGAATCAAGCGGAAGCTGGTGGGCATGTAACACCAGATGCTTAAGATGGAAATGGAAGGTTGTAACATCTGAGGTCGAAGAGGGTGGGGAGTTGTCGCCCAAATTCACATCAGAATGAGAGGATTTTAAGGCTAGGCAGGTATGTGATTGTATGGCTAAAGAAAGACTTATAAGGATTTATTGGTATTACTTATACCAACAAGATGCATCTTCTTTTTGGTATCCTAACAAATAAGAACTCAATATTTAAGCGTGATTGACTTGTAGTAGTATTTAGATGAGTGGCCTTCTAGGAAGTTTCCCGAAAGGTGTGTGAGTGAGGATAAAACATGCTGAAAAGACATGTGTTAGTTGGTCAGTCGGTAATCCTAAAAGCAGTATGAGGTGTTACAAGCACTACAATTTTTAAGTTTAAAAATGCAAAAAAATTATGTTAATGCCCAATTCCTCAAAAGGCTGCAAAAAATGGATTGCAGAGGAGTTAACACATTAAGGGTCTGTTTGGTTGGAGGTAAATGGAAGGGAGGGGAGAGGAAAGGAGGGAATATTTAATAACTTATGTGTTTGGTTCAAATTTTAAGAAAGGGGGGGGGGGGGGGGGGGGGGGGGGGGGAGGTAGATGGAGGGGACCAAAATCCTTCATGAACCACTTTTTGCTTCCCTCCGATTTGGAGGGACTTGGAGGGGAGGAGAGGTGTTTGATTTTAATTATAATTATATTTACATATTTACCCTTATTATTTATTTAAATATAAATTTAATTTATAACAATGTTAAAAGTTTTATTTTGAACAAATTTAATCTTTATTTTTATTTTATTTTTTGTTTTTTTATATCTTCATCTTACTATCATTATATTTTTTTAAATTTTTATTTTATTTTTCATATTTTAATGTTAATTTTAGTTATCGTAATGTTTTTGTTTATAATAATAAGGAGACAAAAACTGTAATTGAGCCAATTATATATTATAATCGTTGCATTTTTATAAAATATTTCATGATGATCTCTGATTGAATATTTATATTTCATCAATAAATTTGTATTTGAAGTATAAACGGTAAATATCACAAGTTTTATGGTAAAATTACAAGGATAAAAAAGTAAATTAGTTTTAAAATACCTCTTCTCCCCTTGTGAACCAAACATATTTGTAAATAAAATTTCTTTCCTCCCCTCCCTTTTCATATTTTGAACCAAATATATATGTAATTAAAATACCTCTCCTCCCTTCCCCTCCCCCCTTCCCTCCCCTTGATAAAAATCCCTCCCCTTCCCTCGATTGAACCAAACAGGCCCTAAAGGATGTAAGCCTAAACCCTTGCCTCGACCTACACTAAAGTGTGGGCAAAACAATATTGTCCAATAAAATAGGTCCACTTTGTCACCTGTAACTAAATAAAAGAAATATTGGTCATTCTCATAGTAAATTATCTCATTAAAAATACTTGCATTTGCAAAAGAAATGAGTGGACTTAAACTTTTACATTACTCATCATAGAAAAATGTTGAAATATAGATAACTATGGTGTCCTCATCAAAAACTCCCTTGGGAGAAAAGAACGTCGATTTTATTATTGTAAAATAAAAATATGTTAACTAAAGTAAAAATGTAGTTTGGTTACGTGCTTTATATCCTATGAAAGACCTCACTTTGGAGGGCCTAGTTTGATTATGTATGGTCTTACCTAACTAGGGCCATGGGGGATTTTAGGACAAGGTTTACTTTCTCCATTTATCTAGGAGTTTGGTAACATATTCTCTAATGTGTGTTGATTTTCTCACTTTGTCTATCAGGTCTAGGCTTCCCTCTTAGAGCTACCTTGTTACCTTCTTATTATGTATGCTAATGCATCATTCGAGAGGTTCAATTTTTAACGGGATCATCGCTCTAAGCCATAAACCATATTTATTTATTTATTTTGCAAGTGGATGAGCTTGGGTTTATGTAGTAGAGAAGATGAATGCCTTCTCCCTTGAACACGAAAAGAATCTAGATAGGGTTGTTATCCTCCTTGTGAGTTGTTGGACTTCTTTTATATTGATTGGGCTTCTCGTGACAATTATCATTGAAACTTTTTAGGTAGGCCTCTGTTCCTTATTTGTAAACATAAACTTGAGGATTTTTTTAACATGTACCCCAAAAGAACACTTCGTCGGGTTTAGGCGATTCTTGTAA